GTTCTTTCACTACTACCCCCCCCCCCGAAATGTCACCATTTCTTGGTTCCCGGTGTTCTGCCTTGAAAAGTTAGCATTCCATTTCCAGACCCATCTGCCATTCTGAGAAACAAGTCTTGTCAGGGTCTGCTCTCTGGGGACCCACAGGCTAGTAAAACAACCACACACACAAATGCGTAAGAAACGTCCACTATGTGCAATGCCAGGACCAGAGACTATAGGTGGGATAGTCCACAATGGCCCTTCATACCCGAGGGCCAGAAGACAGAGATGATGCTGTCTCTGACTTTGAGCGCGAGGCTAGGGACACAAGATAGGTTAAGAAAGCACTAGCCAGGGGCTGGAGAGATGGCTCAGAGGGTTAAAAACACTGCTCTTCCAGAGGTCCTGAGTACAATTTCCAGAACCACTTGGTGGCTCACAACCATCTGCAATGAGATCTGCTGCCCTCTTCTGCTGTGTAATCATACATGCAGGCAGAATACTGTATAAGTAATAAATAAATAAAATCATTTAAAAAGGAAAGGAAGGAAGGAGGGAGAGAAGAAAGAAAGAAAGAAAAAAGAAAGAAAGAAATAGCCAGAGGGTTTGGAAAACCTGGTGAGGCCAGAAACCCAAAGGGCCAATAGTGGAGAGCTTCGTGGAATGTGTGAGAAATCTCCCTCATGACAATTCCCCATTAGGAGGTGACTACAGGAAGGACACAGTACATAAGCTGTTAGAAATGGAGGATTCATATCACACCAAACTGAGCATGACTTAGAAAGCCCATAACCCATAGCCTCAGTTCCCACCTCTGTAAAAGGGACAACAATCCTTTGGATTAAACACAGGAAGGGTAAGGCTTTGGGAAAAGTCATTTTTCTGTAATTTAGAGGCAAGTAGACTAGAGTAAGAGTTAGTGAAGGTAAGGGTTTCAGTGGCAGCTGCCAGGGTAGGCAGAAGGGCAGCGGCATTGTATGGTGTGATCAAAACACCAAGCTGGATGCCAAGAAGTCCAGTACTCCTTAAGCAGAAACCGGATAGGGAGTTCAAGAACAGAAGCTACACAGAAAAGCAAACCCAAGGACTAGGGATAGCTTAGAGGCAGAGTGCACTAGCTAGCGCTCTAGTTCAGTAATCCCCAGCAGCGTTTACGGGAGGCGTGAGCAAGGGCCACAGCATGCATGTGGATCTACAGATACTGGGTTTATCCTCACCCCAGATTCATGGACCTAGCCGAAGTGATTGTGGTCATTGGCGGGTGCGACCGAAAGGGGCTCCTGAAGCTGCCTTTCGCGGATGCTTACCACCCAGAGAGTCAGCGCTGGACCCCACTGCCTAGCCTGCCTGGTTACACACGCTCTGAATTTGCCTCCTGTGCACTTCGAAATGACATTTACGTTTCCGGTGAGCGCACAACTGAAGTAGGAGCCTCTGTTTCCCCCACTCACATCCCTTATTTTTCTCTTCTAATCAGGAGATAGGGGCCATGTTGTAGTCTAAAAGTGGCACGGGAGAGAAACACCATGAGACAGAACTCATGTGGAGAGATTCTGTTTGTATGTGTCCCTGCAGGCCAGAAAAGGGCACCAGATCTTATTACAGGTGGTTGTGAGCCATCATGTCGTTGGTTGCTGGGAATTGAACTCAGGACCTCTGGAAGACCAGTTAGTGTTCTTAACCACTAAGCCATTTCTCTAGCCCCAAGGAGGGGTTTTTTATTAGGGGAAAAGGGAAGGGAGAGAAGAGGGAGACAGGCAAAGAAGCAGAGAGATAGACAGACAGGAACAGACAGAAAGGGAAAGAAAGATGGGAGGTGGGCAGGGCCCTTTTAAAAAGGGAACATATTGAATGTGCACAAGAGGTGCTGTAGTTGAATACTAATGGGCCAGCTTTCCCATAATCCCCCACAGTTAGTGGCTAAAACCATGTGATCTAGCAAAGCCAGTCACCTGTGGGGAGTGTTGATGCTGGGCTTGGTGATGGAAGGCCTTAAGCCTTGGCTTTGGTCTTTGCTCTGACAAAAAGTCTGCCTGGTCAGCAGGTCATTCCCGGTCTCTAAAAACTTCATCCTCACTTTCTGTATGGAAACTGTATAATAATCCCAGCTCCTCAAAGAGATGAGGATGGAAGTGAAGGAAAAGCATTGTTCAAAAGCGGTGACTGGGTCACCCCCTACCCCACCACTGTGCAGATGCCTTGCTTTCACTTGGCCCACTACTAGTTCTTAATGATTGTCTTGAGGGTAGCCCCTCCTTCTTGCTTCTCTGAGCATAACTTGTGTCCCACCACGGGGCACCTGGTGAACAGCACCTTCCCCTCCCTGGATCTCTCTGATACCCTCTCCTTCCTTTAGATTAGGGATGTTTCTGGCTCTTTGGGGCACTAGGGGAAGATAGCTGCTTCTTTCTCCGTAGGAGGACACATCAACAGCCGTGATGTCTGGATGTTTAACTCCCATCTGCATACCTGGATCAAGGTTGCCTCAATGCACAAGGGCAGGTGGAGGCACAAGATGGTGGCCCTGCAGGGACAGGTAGGCATATGGTCTGGCTGCTGCCCTGGGATCCAAGATGTAGATGATCTGGGGGAAGGAGGGATCTGAAGCCCCAAAAGATAAGGACTTGATCAAGATCACATAATAATGTTTGTTTGTTTTGTTTTGTTTTTCGAGACAGGGTTTCTCTGTAGCTTTGGAGCCTGTCCTGGAACTAACTCTTGTAGACCAGGCTGGCCTCGAACTCACAGAGATCTGCCTGCCTCTGCCTCCCGAGTGCTGGGATTAAAGGCGTGTGCCACCACCGCCTGGCCACATAATGATGTTAACAGTCATCATAGCAGCTGGACTTAGTGGCTCACACCTGCAATCTCAGCACATGGGAGGCTATGGCAATAGGGTCGTGAGTTTCATGCCAGCCAGGGCTACATAGCAAGACCGTCTCAATATCACCATCTCTCCCAGATAAATAGCCCTCACTGTAAGAATACAGTTCGGTGGTGAAAGGTTTGGGCCTTAGGACCAAACAGACCAGATACTGTCTTGACTCTACCACTTACACATAAAATACTGCCAGTTATCTTTGTAAACCTTTGTAAACACACAGGAATCGAGTAGGTGGGTGGTAAACACCTTTTATAAAATACTGTAAACCTTTGTAAACACACAGGAATCGAGTAGGTGGGTGGTAAACACCTAGTAACCACTCAGGTTATTACTAAGCATCATTTGCAGCTGGGGTACTCCTCCTCCAACACTTGTCTTCTGTCCCCTGCATTGAACAGGGAACTAAGGAGAGAGGAACTTGGCCAGGCAGTGAGTGACTGTGCTGAGAAGCTCTTGGTGGGCTTAAAGACTGAAGCGGTGGGGTGTTGGAGTCGACTGTAGCTCTGAATCCCTGGGCTCTGGCCTTTGTTTTCCTGCCCTCAGCTTTTTGCAGTGGGTGGCTTCGATGGCCTGCAGCGCCTGCGCAGCATGGAGCGCTACGACCCGTTCTCCAACACCTGGGCGGCCACAGCGCCCCTGCCGGAAGCTGTGAGCTCTGCGGCGGTGGCGCCCTGCGCTGGTCAGCTCTACGTCATTGGGGGTGCGGGACAGGACGGTGTCAACACTGACAAGGTGGGCTCGGGCCTTGGGATTAGCGGACATTAGAGGCTGCAGGGAAACAGTGCAGCCTACTGTGTGCAGGCTAGATCTGGGCGCTGGTGTGAAACAACCTACTTTCTGAATCCAGTCAGCAATCTGGTAATCATCTCCCAAATTTCGATCAAGGGAAATGAGTTAAAGATGATCTCAGCCGGGCGCACGCCTTTAATCCCAGCACTTGGGAGGCAGACAAATCTCTTTTGAGTTTGAGGCCAGCCTGGTCTACGAAGTGAGTTCTAGGACAGTCAGGGCTGTTACACAGAGAAACCCTGTCTCAAAAAACAAAAACAAGGGACTGGAGAGATGGCTCAGAGGTTAAGAGACTGTTGTTCTTCCAGAGGACCTGGGTTCAATTCCCGGCACCCACATGGCAGCTTACAACTAGCTGTCTGTAACTAGTTCCTGATACCTTCACCCCAATGCATATAAAGGTTAAATAAGTAAATAAGTACAAGAAAAATAAAGGAAGGAAGGGAAAAGGAATGATTGGGGCTGGAAGGATGGCTCAGCGGTTAGGAGTGCTTGCTGCTCTTGCAAAGGACCAGAGTTTGGTTCTAGCACCCATGTCAAATGGTTCACAAACGCCTTTCACTCTGACATGTTCTTCTGGCCTGGCCTCCAAAGCCACCCACAGAGACACAAAAATAAAAATAATCTTTTTAAAAATTAGATAACAGAGGTAGGATTAGTTAAAATGCTTTTCTTCCATTCAAAAAGAAAAAGAAAGAAAAAAAGAAAAAGAATCTTCTAAGCTGGGGTTGTAGCACAAAGGAAGCTCTGATCCTGTATAAGCCAAGTATTACTAGAGACAGAGGTAAGAGGACACAGGTAGTGGGGCAGTTAGGGTGAGAGTCATTCACTGTTTCCCTCCTGTAGGTGCAGTGCTTTGACCCCAAGGAGGACCAGTGGAGTCTGAGGTCACCAGCCCCTTTCTTGCAGCGGTGTCTTGAGGCTGTCTCCCTGGAAGATACCATTTATGTAGTGGGAGGCCTCATGAGTAAAATTTTCACCTATGACCCTGGCACCGATGTCTGGGGAGAGGCAGCTGACCTGCCCAGCCCTGTGGTAAGTGGGGGCTCCCTGGCAGGCCCCTGCACTGGCCCATTCGGGTGTACAGACCCACTTCCAATGCCCTGGCATTTACAGAGAGGTCTTGCATATGACTCCATGCTAAATGGCATCACATAGTCCTCTTGCTTCTCCTCCCAGTGACAAATCACCTGTCATTTCAGATGAGACTGGCCTTACAGAGGTTGGCCCAGGGCTGTCAGTTGGGCTGTAGTAAGTCAGTATCTAGAATTCAAGTGATATCACTCCTGAGTGAGGGGGCCTACCACAAAGGTACCAACTAGCAAGGAGTGAGCAAGGGACTTACTAAGTTCCCTGCTCCAGTGACATCAGTGACCAGCGGTGCAAGTTCTGGCCTCCATAGCCCCTTGCTCCCCCCACCTGCTGCCCCAAGAAACTATGTAGATGTGTAATTGTTGGTCCCTGTCAGTTCTGGCCCTGGGTGATTTCAAGGCCAAGTCTGAGTAAGACTGTAGGATGGTGTTACTGTTCACATGCATAGGACCTTGCAGGCATGGCTTTAGCTTTTACAACACACACACAATGACAGTGAAAAGAGTGGATGCTCTTTGAACCTTGCAGATGAGACCTAAGACACAGAGCAGGCAACTTGTCCAGACCATTTATTTAGTAAGGATCCAGTTCACCCAATTATTTTTTTCTCCATTCAAATTGCATGGAGTCTGTAGGGCAAGGCTCTGCTATGTGGCCTAAGAACCAAGGGAGTCCCTGGCTACATCCCAGTTAACTGTCTGTCTGTTTGTCCACTCAGGAGAGCTGTGGCGTGACGGTGTGTGATGGAAAGGTCCACATCCTTGGTGGGCGGGACGAACATGGGGAAAGCACCAATAGTGTCTTCACCTTTGATCCTAGCAGTGGACAGGTAGAGGCCCAGCCAGCGCTGCAGCGCTGCACCAGCTCTCATGGCTGTGTCACCATCATCCAGAGCCTGAGCAGATGACTGGGACAGCCTGAACTGGGAGGCAGGGGAAATTTGGGCATGACACTTGGCCCCCTCCTGGAACCTCCATGTGAATAGTCCTTTAACTTATTGCCCCCTTTCTTATAGAAATAAAACCTTTTTCAAAAGTTGCGAGTGTTCCATCTCATGCCTGCTTTGTCCAGAGAAGGTATCCCTAGCAGCTGCTCCTTGCCAGCACTCCTATGCCAGCCACCTAGACAGCCATACTCTCCTTAGACTATCATATGAACAGACTTAGCTCTGGACACTGGAGAGTGTAAACTTGCACCAGGAGCAAGGTGCCAGCAGATTCTGTCTGGTGAGGTTCTACTTTGTAAGTTCCCTTTAACCTCCCCAGATGACTATTTATCTACCCAAAGGACCCTATTTTTCTAAATGTTATCTACTTACTGTATGTGTGTGTATGCATGTCATGAAGAACAACATTGTGCAGTCTGCTCTCTCCTTCCATCTTTATCTGAGTTCTGGGGATCCCAACTCAGGTCATCATCAGGCTGGCATGGCAAGCACTTTACCAGCCATGTCACCAGTCTTCATTCTTAATGCTATGACACCGGGTATTAGGCCCCAACAGCAATTTTGGAGGAACAGCTGTATTCAGCTGTTAGCACACCCATTACATTTCTATTACTATAGACACGTTTTACTTCTGTGTCGCGGTACCTGTGTGGAGGTCAGAGATCAAACTGTGGAAGTTGGTTCTCTCCTTTGAACACATGGGTTTCAGGGACTGAACTCCAATCAGCAGGCTTAGCTACAGCAGGAGCCTTGACCCACTAAGCCATCTCTTCAGGCCCAGTATTTTTGTGTTTTGTAGTGGAAAGGCACCACAGCCACAGGCCAGGGTGCACCTAGACTGGTCAAATCCCCAACATCAGTGTGAGACACAGCTCTGATACCACTGCAATGCCAGGGCTCCAGAACAATGACAAACGGCTGGATGGGGGGGCAGCAGTACTAAGTACTGGCTGGCCCCATCTGCAGACCCTCATTTGCACTCAGATTGCCTTTTGAAGAGTCTTGTTTCCCAATCTCTCCCATGCTTAAAGCCCCAGGGCCATGTCTGCAGGGTCTCTCCAGCTGGGGCTGACCCATCACAGCCAGACACAAAGGCTTGGGTTCCTGCTGAGCTCGAATACCACAGATTAGGGAACTGTGGCCATCTGGACACAGATGATAAAGACAGCAGGGGGAGGAGTGTAGGCCAGCACCAATGAGCCTGCGTGTCCCCACCCCAGGAGACACTTAGGACAAAGCAATGGTACCTAAGCACGTCTGCCCAGGAACAATGGGAGCCCATCCAGGGCAAACTCTTCCAAGGGCATGGGTGTTTCCTGGCTAGCAATTTCAGGAGGGCCAAGCAGTGACTGCCAAGCTTCCCACTCAAAGGTTCCTGTTTCTAAATTGTATCCACTTAGTATTTATTGAGTGGTGCTCTGTACAAATCTGTCTGCCTGGACACACAGGAAGACAAGACACAATAGGACACCCTAGATGAAACTTAAATAACAATTACAGAACCCTTCCACTTCCTTGTTGCATTTCTCAAGTTTTGCACCATCCTTCACAAGTCTGGAAACAGGTGGAATTCACTATTTCTCTTTAACCATGACAGGTTATCTCATTCATCACACAGATGAGGCATACATCAGCACTTCATTCAGGAGGGAAGCAAGTGACACTAGTCACATTAGTTGGTAAAGGCAAGAATTGACTCCCAGAAGTTGTCCTCTGCAAAATGGAAAATGGTGCCTGGGTATAAATATGCTGGCATTTTTACTAGAGTTTGAACCCAGGACCTTAAGCATGCCAGCAAAGTGCCTTCCTTTTTTTTTTTCTTTTTAAGACAGTGTTTCTCTGTGTAGCTTTGTAGACCAGGTTGGCCTTGACATCCGCCTGCCCCTACCTCCTGAGAGCTGGGACTAAAGGTCAAATTTTTAAAGCCACATCATTGTAACTGATGTTTACAGACCTATGAATGAAAATCAGTGTCTTTAAGTACAAAAAGCAGAGTAAGCAGCTAGAGCCTATTACACAGATTTGAAATCTGGAATCAATACTTTCACGATTGTTCCAGCCTCAACTAGTGAGCATTTCATTGTATTTGAGGGAGTGCTCCCTTAGGTTTCTAGTTCTAGACTATGTAGTGAATCCCAGCAAGCTTCATTGCACCCAGTTTACTTTCTCTTTGGTGGGCAAATGACACATCTGCATACTCAGGAGAGGCAGGATGCTGAGTTCCAGGCCAAACCCAGCCAGACCCTTCACACAAAAGGCTGTTAGGATGCATCCATCCACCAAAGTGGATACCCCTCAGCTCAACAGATGACTGCCCACTGTCTGAGCAGCTGTCATGTTTCAGAGCTACTCAGGGCTGCAGTTTTATTTGTGATTATGACAGTGGTTAAGTCATTTCCAACTTAAGTTTCTGAAGTTAACTCTCAAACTGGAAGTGAAGATTTTGAGGTAAACCTCAGAAGAATAAGTACATTCCCTTAAGACAGACAGCCAAGGTTAGGTTTGCTGTCAGTCAGCTAGTAGTGTAATTTGTTCAATACTAAGATTATTAAATGTTGTTAGTGGCCCAAAGGGTTGCAATCTCATCTCATACATACTACAGTTTTGATGAAAAACAAAGGTAAGTTGTTTTTAGCATCAAAATCTAATAGCCCTAAGGATGAAAACAACGAAGCAGAAGTTGGTTCACAAGCATCTATGAGATCTGGTGCCCTCTTCTGGCATACAAGCATACATGTCAGCAGAACACTACACATAATAAAAGTACACCTGTACTCAACATGTACTCGAAATTTAGTTAGTAAGTTGTGGATATGGTCAGTGTGCTAATATAACTTACTTAAGTAAGTTCTTACCCTGTGCAATGCTACAAAGGTGAAAAGGAAATAAAGATATAAGTGTTCATAAAGTCAGGCTGTACCCAGGACCTTGATACCTTCATCATGAAGTCTTCTCTCACCAGAGTATAGAATTTCCAAGCTAACTTTAATTCTCTCAAAACATGTCAATAGTAAATGCTTTTAAGACATAGCAATTCAGTTACTGACAATTTCTAAATTTTCTGTATTTTCCAAAACATGCGTAAAATATAAGATTTAGAAATGTGTGTTGCAATGACAGCTTTACATTCCAAATTTCTGCAATTTATGTTAAATGGCATCAAAAGTTCTTTTTACTTTAGGAATGCTGCAACTAAAACAGCATTGCATGGCTAAACAGGCCAATTTACTTTCTACAAGCAGGGTAAGTGCACGCCAGTGTCACAGACTTTCATAGAAAGCATTTTGCTGGCCCACTGAAGACTTTTTACATGCCAGGGGGAAAATATCACACGTAGCACTCCAGGCCGGGGACACATGCTGCTTATGTGCAAGGACCTGGGTTCCATCAAGAACAGCAAAACCAAACTGAACTGTGTAACACAGGGCCAAGGTGGTGCCAGCTCTGTACCCACCAGATTTCACTGACCCATGACTTCTCTGGTCAGCTCTGCTCAAGCCCTCCAGCTTAATCTAACAGGATAAGCAACACTCCTCAGGCCAACATAACTCAGTCACAATCCAGTCAGGCCTTATGTCTTTGTGCAAGATTTTATTAAATGTCTGTACAGGACAACATCCAGCCTCCAGATGCAGCTGCCAAGACCCTGAAACCAAATAAAACAATTAAGAAAATACTCATGCAAGTCTTTCATTCATTGCAGGAGTACACACTCCCATGCGGGGTTTGCCTTAAATACATCCCCACACAAAGCTTGTTACTTAAACCTTGACAAGGCTGCTAAAGGGTGGAATGACTAACAAGAGTATTTGGAAACTCTTGATCAAAGACAGTGAAGGAAAATACCCATTCTGATCTGTTGGGCTGGGCACCATACTCCAACTGGTATCCTCCCCCATATTAAGAAACAAACTCAAACAGTGCAACATCAGAAGTAACAGTAAAAAATACAAACAACAAAAAAACCAAGTCTGTTTGGCCCAGGACAGTCACCACAGACAATACCTGTTTATGCTGTAGGCACTGGCTGGGGCATGGCAGGTGGCTCTGGCTTCCCACCCTTCTGCTCTGAGATGGGGGTGGTAGGCAAGATCTCATCCTTAGGTTCCACAATGCTCACATGATCAGGCAGAGGCTTCTTGGGGCCGATTTTACCACTTGGGTCCCAGGGCAGCATGATTTTCACTTTGATGCCCAGCACACCTAAAAGACACCAGGGCTGGAACTGAGCTGGGCTTTTACCAGCTCCCACCACACAACAGGAAAGCAAGGAAAGGCAGTACCTACACAAAAGCACTGCAACCTGGCCCTTCTCAGACAAATGCCTCTAAATCAATCAATGAGCAGGACACTTTTGCCAAAGGAACCATGTACAGCACCACAGAACGTGGCACTGACAAGGACCAAGAGCAAGGCATGACCTTTCTGACTCGTCATCGTGTCATCACCGAAGGGCACACAGATGGCTAAGACAAGAACAATGGATTTGACCATCTCAACAATACAATTTTTCACAGTCCCCGTAACCAACAGTTCTTCCACAGCAGACCACAAACACAAGTCCATGGAAACACACCCATCTGCTAATCTCTGCTCTAGGCATTCCTAGCTACCCAAGGCTATTAGTTTCAGCTACACAGTGCTTAGACAGGCCCCCAGGTTCCCTTCCCAGCGCAGCTGCTCACCCTGTCTGAGGAGTACATGGCGTACCGCAGTATCAACATAGTAGTTAACAGGGTCTCCACTGTGGATCATCAGCCCATCCACAAACTTCATGGACTTGGCTCTCTGTCCTCGGAGCTTCCCAGACACCACAACCTCACAGCCCTTGGCCCCACTCTCCATAATGAACCGAAGCACACCATAGCAGGCCCTTTGGAATAAGAAATTCATCAGTTATTGCCAAAGACACAATCTGCATGTCCCTCCCACCAAGCTTAAAAGACTTGGATTTTACTTTAGCAACTCTTGAATGGTAGCTTGAGAAAACAACCAGAGTTCAGTCAAAACAGCAATTCACTGTCCAAATGCTTCCCCACCCTGGCTTGTATATTAGAATCACCTCTGAAGGATGAGTATCTTTTATACATGC